TCATCAGCATCATCATCCTCCTAATCAGCATCATCACCATCCTAATCCTAATCATCATCATATCATCATCATCATCATCATCATCATCATCATCATCATCATCATCATCATCATCATCAGAATCAGCATCATCATCATCAGCAGCATCATCATCATCAGCAGCATCATCATCATCCTATCGCGGGGCACGCTCCAACCAGGATCCTGGGGCGAGCGTGGCTGTGGCGGCGAAAGCCCCCCCCCTCCCCCAGGAGGTCCAGCAAGCCGGCTCGAAGCGTGGAAAAGGGGCGTCGGCATCGGTACGCGTGCGCTTCTCCGCTGAGCGCCGCTGCTGCGGCGCCGCGGCCCGCCATCAGCGAAAGCGGACGGGGAACTCGCGGTCGAGATAGACGAAGGCCAAGTAGTTGACCGCGTCATCGAGGAACGCGAAGCCACGTGGGGCGCGGCCGCGCGCCCCCCAGTGGCCCCCAAGCTCGCACACTGCGAGCTGATGATCCGCCACCACGGCAGGGCCGCCGTGGTGCACGAGGAAGGAGTAGCAGCGCTTCCCCGCGGAGGAGGCCGCTGGAGGCAGCACTGGCCCCGGAACCAGGTCGGCGGCGGAGGCGAGAGGCTCCTGGCGCTCGGAGCGCACGGGCCCCGAGGGCCCAGGAGCGGCAGCAGCCGCGGCGGCAGCCCCCACTCGACCCAGGGCGACCCGAGGCCGGAGGCGGCCTCGGGAGCAGGGCTTCTCTTGGCGGCGCACAGAGGGGGGTAGGGGGAGGGGGGAAGGCTTCTTAGAAGCACCCCTGCTTCTTAGAAGGCGCGGGCCTTCTCTATAGACGTAAGGCCGAGGCCTTCTATGAAGCAGGGTGCTTCTAAGAAGCCGTCCCCGCTCCCCCTACCCCCTTTTGCGCGCCGCCAATCCACTGCGAGGCCCACCCTGGAGGCGCCCGCGGGCGCCGCGCCCGCAGGCGCTCCTGCGTGCACGTGCGCGTGCACGCACACCTGTGCGGTCGCCGAGGCCGCGGAAGCCGGGCCCGCGGAGCCGGCGGCGCTGCGCCGTGCGCAGGGCCGCTGCCCCGCTGGCGCAAAGACCGCGGCAGGGGGGGGGGACGCGCGCCAGGTCCCCGCCCCCCTTGAGAAGCTGAAGAGCGGTGCGGCGGGGGGATAGATCGTCAGATCGGGGTCGAGAGTGGGCCCAGCAGGAGGTGACACGCCGCTGCCAGGGACCGAGCTGGAGATCTCTGTGAGCCGCAACTGCGCAGCCGCAAGGTCCTGGTCGGCATATCCCAGGGGAGGGGGAGGGGGAGGAGAGGGGGAGGAGAGGGGGAGGAGGGGGAGGAGGAGGAGGAGGAGGAGGAGGAGGAGGAGGAGGAGGAGGAGGAGGAGGAGGAGGAGCAGCAGCAGCAGCAGCAGCAGCAGCAGCAGCAGGAGCAGCAGGAGCAGCAGGAGCAGGAGCAGGAGCAGGAGCAGGAGGAGGAGGGAGGAGGAGTGGGAGGAGGAGGAGGAGGAGGAGGAGGAGGAGGAGGAGGAGGAGGAGGAGGAGGAGGAGGAGGAGGAGCCGAGAGGGAGAGGCTCGGAGCCTCGCGCGCGCGCCCGCGGGGAAGGAGCGAGCGGGCCTCAACAGACGTCTGCTCGATGTCGAGCCACGCGGTATTGTACTGCGCGTCCAGGTTCTGGAACTCCGCCGCCTGCCCGCCGTGCTCGCCGACCACCCAAGGCCCTCCATTCCGTCCCCAGTTGCGTTCCGACGGGGATTAGAAAGAGAAGAAGAACCACCCTCATGATACACCTCCCGACAAGAGGAGCCGGTCAGAAGACGCACCTATGGAAGGGATCGAACAGGGCAGGGCTGCTGAGTGAACGCCCAGGACCGTTTCGCAAACGCCAATGGTGAGGTCGAGGTGGTGTCTTCTTCCTTCGCAAGTGGCCGAGGATGGCCCGAAGACGCGAGGGCGATGGGGCGCCCCTGGAAGGCTACCCTCGTCGTCGTGGTCCCCTCCCCGCTGCGCTTGGCGGCCGCTGCCGGCGACCCGGCGACGGAGCTGCCGGGCGCGGCCGCGGCCGGGCCTCGGCGGATGCGGGCGGGCCGCGCCTGCCTGCGGGCCTCCAGCGGCGGCGGGCTCTCGCCGCCACGGGGCCCGCGGGAGGCCGAACGCGGCGAGAGCCTCGGGGCCTCTTCCTCGGGCACGCACCGGCGTGGATCGGAAAAGATTGCCCCTCGAAGCCTGCGGCAGAGTTCCGTCCCAGACTCGCCCTCGAGGGCCCCGAGGTTCGATCACCAGCCCTGGAGGCCGAAAAATCCACGAAAACGCCCAGATTGAAAAAACACACACACTCACACACACACACATACACACGTCGTCCGAGATATCGAGGCCCCGCCCCCGAGGACGAGGGCGACGAGGGGGCCGCCGAGGGCGACGGCAACCACGGCGAGGGCGAGGGCGAGGACGAGAACCACGGCACCGATGGCGGCGCACCGAGCCCCTGGGCTAGCCTCGGTCGGAGGGGGCCACTCTGAAGGGGCCCTGGGACACACAAATAGATACACACAAATAAAAAGATCCCCCATGTTTTCCCATATTTGCTGGGCTTTTGTCTTCCCCCCCACTTCCCATATGTTCGCATCTTTTCCTGGGAATCGACGATTAATTCCCTCCTGACACTCGAGACAACGGCGGATTGCCCGCCCAGCCCGTGTCCGCTCAAGATCAAGCCGGAGGTCCCTCTCGACCCGCTTGCCGATGCTGAGGAGGCAACTACTGGGAGGCTTCCGTCGGAAAAATTAAGGATGATTAAGCCCCACTTGGGAGCTATTACGCCGGAGTGGGCCTCGGATTAAACGGGACTAAGCCGCCGGATTAAGCGGGATTAAGCCCGACTAAGCCGGATTTCGGACCAGGGCAAAATCAGAATTTGACCTCCCAGGAGTTGCATCCGAACGAGGCGGATCCAGCCGCGGCGACAAAGACGAGCCTCCAGGAGGCCCGAGCAGGACGGAAACCGCCGGCGAGGGCCATTGCATCCCAGGCGGGGGCGGCACCCCGGGCGGCAGCGAGGCGGCGGCCGTGCGCGCCTTGGCCCCCGCCGGCCTGCCCACCTGCCGGCCGCCGGCTGCTCGGGCGGCGCCGTGGCGCCCCGCCGGCGAGGGCAGGAAGGCCTCGGGGGGGCATGAGCATGAGCGTGAGCATGTGGCAGAGTCAGTGCATGCCAACCAGCGCGAGGCAACACACGGAGGCAAGAAGTCGCACTCTGTACCGCGCTGCCGCTTCTCAGCTGCACTTGAGACCTCGGGGCCGAGGCCTGGCGAGATCCTGCTCAGGCCTTCTGCACGGGTTGGACCTCGTCACTCCTCCTCCTCCTCCACCACCTCCACCGTGGAGCTCCATGCGGTCGGCACCCACTGAGAGACCGTAGGTGGAGTTTCCAGTGGGGCCACGAACCGTGTGAGGATGTGCCGACTCGGGGCCGCGTGCTTCATGCGGTCGGCGCCCACTGAGAGCGCGTAGGTGGAGCTCCCTGTGGGGCCACGCAATGTATGAGGGGGGTGCCGATTTGGACACGCGGAGAGCTGACGAGGGAGTGGGGAGGAGGGGGCAAATGGGAAGGAGATGGGGCGCGGCGCTGCGGATTGAAAACGAAGACCCGACTCAAAATGGGAGGGCTGGGGACCTCGGTTGCCTGGGAAACCCTCCCGCTGTTCCCTCCTTCCCTCCTTTACACGTAAGCAGTATGAATACTACTCTCCCTCCTCCTTTGATCCTCCTTTCTCTGATCCTCCTTCTCCTGGTCCTCCTTTCCCTCCCGATCCGTCCGCTTAGGTCCTGCTGCTGCTGTTCGTCCTCATCCTTTTCCTCCCGCGCATCCTCCTGCTCACACGCCACCTTCTCCTCCTGTGCACGCAGCTCCCCTTTTTTCCGATTGCGCATAACAAGAAGTGGTCTCTCTGTGTGGGTCGCAGGTCGGCTGTGACGCGCGTCCGCGGGTAGAGAATCCTCGGCGCCATGGGAAGGGATGGGGAGGGAGAGACAAAATGTCAGATGAGGCACGAGCGCAGCTAGCTTGCCCCCATCCCTCTCTCTCCCTCCCTCATCCCCCCTCCGCCAGCCGCCGTCCCAGCTCAGACTTTGGGAGCTGCTAACAGATAGCGGCGAGCCCAAGCAGGGACAGCTGCCACACTCATCGGCCCGACGCCCAACCAGCACATTACAGCTAGAGCGCGGGCCGACCGTGACACGTTCGTGACACATCAGACGACGACACCAGCAAGATTGTACGAGCCAGCCTGGCACAGGCGCAGGCGCATCGCCAGAGCCCAGGCCAGAACACTGGTTAGAGTCGCAGCAGCAGCAGACCTCTTGCAGAGGCATCACAGCACAATGCGCCATCACAATTACTCGTCGCACAGGTCCTCAGGGTGGTCCAGCAAATCAAAAAGTCTGGGAGCGCTCAATTTGCAGCAGGTCAAACCCGCCAACATCAGCCTCTTGTAGATTATGTGAGGCATCACCCACTTAGAAGCAGGCGAAAGCGGAGATAGAGGAGGAAGAAAAATCACACGAGGACCCACGGCCATGGAGAAAGGTGTCACGCCAGAGGCGGTGGCACAGGCCCAATCAGCAGCAGTGGCAACAGCAAGAGCGGCATTCTTCATCCGAGATCGCACGTGCTAGATCCCAGGCGCCTGCTTAGAAGAAGCAGAATGACAAGAAAGCACCACCCATGATCGGTCCAGCAGAGCCACACGTTGCCGAGTCTCATAGGTTGCGGGCCCCGATGCCGAAGAAAGCGTCAGACTTACACAAGCACCGCCTTCATTGGAAAAAGCAATTGGATGCGATCGAGAAGCAGTTGAAAGTCGGGCATGATTTCGGTCACAAGAGAGCCAGACTCGCAGAATTGGAGACGACTTTTGCGGTCACTATGTGCCAAGTCATGCTTGCAAGGCCGCCAGATGAAAGGATTGCCCATCAAACTTAGTACGTTGAAAAATTGCAGAAACGGTTCAACGATTTTGTCAAGACTGAGGAGGACACCAAAAAATCCGCGGGCCCCCTTGTGGGGCCACCAGGCTGTAGGGCTAGGGTTTACTGCTCCCTGCACCAGTTCCAGTTTCCAATTTCCTCTGTTACAGTTCTGCTTACTGCTGCTTACTATTCCTTGTTGATGGACCGCGCGAGGGGGGGGAGCCGAAAAGCGTCCAGATTACCACGCCCGAATCGCGTTGCCTGAATTCCTGGGGGGGCGTGGGACACGTAAAAAAAATTGTAACTCGCGCCCCCGAGGCCATAAATCCTTGTAAATTATATAATGGTCGCGTCCCCGAGGCGATAAACCCTCGTGAATTATGCAATATTCGCGTCCCCGAAACCATAATCCTTTGCAAAATACGCCGTACTCGCGCCCGAAGCCATAAGCCCTCGCAAATGACAGAATACTTGCGTCCCCGAGGCCACACACGCTCGCAAATCACGCAACATTCGCGTCCCCGAAACCATAACCCTTCGTACATTACGTTGTGCTCACGTCCCCGAATCCATAAACCTTCGCAAATTACGCAATGTTCGCGTATCCGGAACCAAACCTCGCAGGTTAAGCAATATTCGCGTCTCCGAAGCCATAAACCTGCGTATATTACACTACATTTGCGACCCCGAAACCATAAACCCTCGTAAATGACGCTGCACTTGCGTGTCCCGAGACATGAACCATCGTAAATTATACAATGTTCGCGTCTCCGAGAGCATAAACCTATGCAAATTGCCCTACATTTGCGTGTCCGAAGCCATAAACCCTTGTAAGTTACGCAATGCTCGCGTCTCCGAAGCCATAAACCTGCGCAAATTGGGTTATATATGGGACCCCGAAGCCATGAACCCTTGCAAATTATTCGCGTATCATCATCGTTCAAAATGCAACACTGAATTCAACAATATCATCAGAATCTCAACTTCTCTTGCCGATGCTGCTTCACGGCGGCGCCGAGGCCTCATGATTTAGCTATTGCATGGCCCATTATCCCAGAGAGGGGGCCGGCGGCAGAGGGCGAAGCCCTTACGGATATCATCAAGAACGCCAAACGCAGACAGCCCATGTCCACCAGGATCTGGAAAAAGCCATGGTCTTACAAAGTAATTTCCAAGTTCTGGCGACAAACGAGCAAGTCAAAGAAGAGCAGATCAGTGACGTGGAGGATGTCGATGATAACATGTTGGGTGAGCCGCAGGTTCGCCCAGTCAGAAAGAGAGCAGCAGACCCCAACTTTCCCGCATCAACGGCTCCGCCCATGAGCCCAGTCAGCACAGCGGACTCCGCGCAGAACATCACGTTGCCAGACACGCTCGCCGCGATGCAAGCGAACAACAACAACAACAACAACAACAACAGCAGCAGCAGCAGCAACAACAACAACAACAACAACAACAACAACAACAACAACAACAATCACTTTACCCGAACGCTCAGTGTTCTCACCAGTGCCAGGGTTTTCATGCGACGCCAGCCAATACCCCCACTTTGTGGGGGGGCAGTGCAAGCTCTACCAAATATCCACACGACTCTTCGCCACCACCCACACCCAGCTTCCCGCCCTATGACGTTCGGACACTTCACTTCGTGGCCTGCGGACGACCGTGGCTACTACACTGGCGTGGAGTACACACCCACAGAAGTTGTTAAGCCTACGTTCGTACACCCACAGAAGTTGTTAAGCCTTGTTAACCCACAGAAGTTGTTAAGCCTTCCACAGAACATCTGTTGCATATGATGCATATGGTACATGATACACATGATACACATGATACGTACTCACAAGATAGTTGATCACATCTTTAGGGCAAATTCCTGAGGGATGTGGGAATACACAAGAGAGAGAGGATATGGTTGTCCCGATGGTTGTCTCGATGGTTGTCCCGATGGTTGTCCTGATGGTTGTGGTTGTCCCGATCGTTGTCCCGATGATTGTCCCGATGGTTGTCCTGATGGTTGTGCTTGTCCCGATCGTTGTCCCGATGACTGTCCCGATGATTGTCCCGATGGTTGTCCCGATGGTTGTTCCGATGGTTGTCCCGATAACCTACGGTGCGATTCGTGTGATTTTATGATGCGCGGTGCTAAAATTCTTAAGAAGCCCAATGGTTTTTGGAGATTTCGGCGTGCGCGCGCGAAGAAAAAACGAATGTGTCCCGCATGGTATTATTTGACAGGGATGATGGCCCTGGCAGGTGCGCAACCGTTGTCGCAGAAGTTCGAAAAAGTTGCTCGCAAAAGCCCGTTTGACAGAAATGTTTAAAAAGTGTTGGGTTTCCTACGAATCCGCAAGAGCGCGCGGGATGAGATTTTGACAATTTTTTGTTGAAAAACCATTGGTTTTTTGATGTTTTTATGTTAAAATCGCTGCGAACACTAAGGTTTTGGAAGGATTTCGTCTTGCGCGCGCGAATGTCCACTTTACCTTATTTTTTGCAAGGGATTCTTGAAATTTGATTATATTAGAACAAGAAATGTCATTTTCTATTGTTTTTTGCAAGGGAAAGCGGATTACAACAAAACAACCGGATCCTGTACACACCCTCTTTTCTGAGGCTTCCTCACGAAAATGATGAAAATGTAGCTGCGGCCTAGGCGGCGCAGGGGGGGCGCGCACCAGGGGGCCCAACAATAATTATTCTTTAGAATAAATAATGTTCAACAACACCAACAACACCAACAACAACAACAACAACAACAACAACAACAACGATAGCAGCAACAACAATAACAATAACAGCAGCAGCAACAACAACACCGACAACAACAATAACAACAACAGCCACAACAACAACCCCACCAACAACAACAACCACTCCGACAACAACAACACCAACAACAACACCAACTACAACAGCACCAACAACAACACCAACAACACCGACAACACCAACAACAACAACAACAACAACAGCAACAACAACGACAACAACAACATGGTCACCCAACTCATAATACTAGCGGAGCAGCTGGCTACAACACCTATTGCAGTGACGCGAGCTGGCCTCATGCAGCCAGCACGGCAGCAGCAAGCGCCTCAGCCAGCTCAACCACATCCAGCAGGGCAGCCGGCAGCATCCGACCCGGCCCCGCTTGCAGCGCCAGAGGATGCCCGAGATCATCACGAGCCGA